TTTAATTTTGAAATCACGAACTATATTGTGATCGTCAGGAAGACAAAATTCTTAGATCAGTTATTCTTATATCATAAATCAATTTTTATTAATAAAATCATTTTCAAATCTGAACAAACTCAATTTTATGCTTCATTATTTACAAAAACAGCATCAACATCAGCATTCTTTTCCTTGGCGTCAATTGTCGAATCTTGCGTCAAGGCCGTATTAATAACAAGTTTCCACGTATCGCGTTCTCCCGCAATGCGATTAGCTTCCTGCAAGCTCTGCGACTTCATCGATCGGCTAAATGCCTCGAATACGTCGCTGGCCGTCTGCATGCAGATTCTAATGACGGAAACTGCCAAATTTTTAATGGCTGGGTTCCAGTGATTTGTACCAGTCTTATAAAGGAATGGACAAATAATAGGGTAAAGTTCTTTGGCGTTTGCTTTAATGCATTTGATGAAGCGATCATTCTTCCAAAGAAGCATTCCTGCTTCAGAAACCTGGAAGTTATCAGATGTAATACATAATCCGACTCTGTGGAATAGGTCAAACATCAATTCTTTGAACTGTTCATCGCTCATTGAATCGAAAATCTTTGAAAATACGGAGATAAAGATCAGTTCCTTGAGAGAACATGACACTGGCCAGATTTTAAGCAGTTCCCTGACTATAACTGGTATAAGCGTAGCGTCTTTCTTGATATATTGGTTGACACAGTCGAAAAGTCTCTGATGGAATGTATGAAGGAAGTTGGATGTGTGAAGAGGAAGCAAAATCTTTGTAAGGAAGTCTTTGTGCTCTTGTTTAAGAGGGATCGCGTAACCGTTAATAATCGAAACCATAATTTCAAGCAATTCGAAGATACCGGAGAAGTATTTCGTTTCATATATATATGTATAGAAAATGTGTTGAATGGCTTGACGAATGAAAGGTCTCTTTGAGACAAATTTCAGGTATAATCTGTGCAAAACCATTTTAAGGGAATCACGCTCTCTTTGATCGGAAGAGTTAAATAGGAGGAGGAACTGCACAATAAACGATGCATCTACGTACTGTTCTACTGAAGCTGGCTCTAATAATGCTGATTCAAGGAAGCGCTGGAAGATTTGGTAGACCAATTCCAAGTGCGGCCAAGCAGACTCGTAAATTGTATCGTTAATATCATCTCCGATCATGGGAACTTTCGCCAAATCTGGGATTGGAGGAAGGGAACGAATAATGTTAGCTTTGATCATAGCGAATAATGCCTGGATTGTTTCTGGTTCCATTAAGCGATAGAATCTTGGTTGAGAAATGTGATCTAAAATTTCTTGCAAATAAGTCTGTTTCATTGTTTTACTTTTAAGATCGGCATAATCTGTAGTGAAGTTACAGATAATACGACATTGCTGAAGTTTTTGGCGGAGCATGTCATCGAATTTATCTTCTGTAACTGAAGAAAGAGGTGGAAGCTCATCGATTTGACCAAAATCACCCGGTGAATATGCAGATGGATTGGACCTTTGAATACCAATATCTCCGAAGTTATCCGCTTTTGGTGGTTTAATCGTTGGTCTATTTTCAAGATTTGATTTGCATTTTCGCTCGATTTTCCTTGCCCATTCTTGTTCTTTCCCGAGTTTGGCTTCCCTGGCTTAGCTGGTCCTCCTTGCTCTTTCTGTCCAATAACCTTGCGAACACTAGAACGAGGAGGCATTGAAAAAATGTAAACTTTATATGCTATCGTTACATAATAAAGAACGTTATTTTGTCATCAGAATTCTTCCTTCGTCATCGGATGCTTTTTTTCATCAATTTATGAATTTGGAAATAATTTCACAAAATCCTTTTATAAAAAATTGCCTGCTGAGATTTTTTTTTACACAAGTTCTCAAAAAAAAATTTTTTTTAATAAGAGATTGAATGAAACAAATTAATCAAAAGGAAAAAGTTAGGAATTGAAATATAAGGCAGAAACAAAAAAACATTCAAAAAAATGTCATCGAAATTGAAACAAATTATGAAATTGATAAATTTGGCTTTGCTAGTGATAATATGGGTACAATAGAAATACTTTTTACTGATTACTCACCTAAATTTTGTCTTTACTGAGATTTCCTCTCTTTTTGAATACCAAATAGCATTCCTTTCTTTCACTGTTTGCTCAATATACATACAAAATTTACAAATATTATAAAATATGAAGTAATAATATGGATGAAAAAATAATTTTCCAATATGTATTATATGCCTCAGCATCTACACTCGGATCTCAACAAATGGCCCTCTTCTGCATATGTGCCAAGTCCTATCTTTGCCCAGGCGAAAAGATGTTCTGTTTCCAGTACCAAGAAACAAACGACAATGCTCACTGCAAAAGAAAGTGTGTTTATGGTCAAATTCCCCTCTGCAGCTAACATTGAAGATGAAATGATTCAAGTTTGCAAGGAAATTACACATGCACTTAAGGATGGCGTTGTTTTCCAAAGAAGTTGGTCTTTAAATCAACAAGACACTCTTCATGACAATCATCAACGCTAACAATTGTTGATGATAATGCTCTTACAAAGCAATTAAACTACGCCCACGAAATTATGAATAAGCTTGCTAAGTAACAGATCACAGCTCCACTCGGTGTTCACTCACATCCAAACCCATATGCTGTTTCTCTTCGCGAAATGATCCTTTGCGGTCTCAAAGGTATGGCTGCTTATGCACACCATGCTTCTATGATCTGCAAGCATGACAAAGAAATCTACAACTACGAAGTCAAGGCTTTAGCTCAGATCTCCAAGAAAGAAGACACCAACAAGTTTACTGAACTCTGTTTAGAAACAGACAGATACTAGTGTGCTCAGGGGATGAAAAAAAATTGTTTCATTAAAATTGAGATGAGAATTTTACGTATAGTAATAAAATTGATATTTACGTGATACTCATTATGTTGGTTAATTTTCAAGTTACCATTGTCAAACGATAACTCATTATTTTTCAATAAAAAAATTTGAGAGCGGTACATCTCACAAAAATTGACATTGTAAAGTTAGTCAGTTTACAATTGTAAAATGGCAAATTTGCCACTTGTTTGCCAACTACAAAAAAAGTTTGGCGCCAAATCGCAAAAGTGTCATAATCTCATGGTGGACCACAGTTGGAGTCGCCGCCGACAATCCACTTGCTGGGATGCTACGCAGCCTTTGATCTGGCCAATCATAGTGCTGCTCCATCCACATCAGCAAGTGATTTCGGCAGGAGATCCCCAATCGGTCTTCCATGAGAGTTCCACAAGCCAGAAGCGCAATACCTGTGCAGTCTAACTGCTAGGATATAGTAGCTAGGCTGTGTAGGTATTGCGCTTCTAAGGATATTAGTTATCCGTTATTGCCCTCATTCATTTACACTACCGCCCCCTGGTCCCCAAAGGGCCAAGGATTCTGTAATTACTCGAGCAGGGCAAAGTTCTTCCGAGATCTCTCATTCCATCGAAAGATCTCGGAAGAACTTTGCCTTAAACTACTCAATTACTGTTCCCTGGTTTTCAAAGAGCCAGGGATTCTGTAGTTGATCTAATAAGGCAGAGTTTTTTCCGAAGTCTCTCATTTGATGAGAGGCCTCGGAAGAACTCTGCCTTAAGATAGCGTACTTGTGATCTCTAACAATTTGTGTGTCGGAGAATGTAAATTTATTCGACTAGGACAGAGTTTTTCCGAAGTCTCTCATTTGATGAGAGGCCTCGGAAAAACTCTGCCCTAGTGTAATGTAGTTGTGGTACTTGGCCCACAAAAAGCGAGAGAACATGTCTGTAATTCGTTTATGCTGAAGTTATCTGGATGTCTCTCAAATGAGAGAGGAAATCCAGATAACTTCAGCATAAGTTAATGCATATGTGGTTCTCTGGCTCTTTGTCGGCCAGAGAACGAATAAAAAGTTTAATGGGTGAGTAGGCTCGATGGATGCCTACTCATTGCAAATATACGTTATTTTTTTCCTATGAGAAAATAGTTTTCCAGTTTTATAATACCATATGTTTTATTTCTTCATATATAATCTAATTTTCTTATTAAACCCTAATTTTTCCGTGTGTTTCGGAATCTCCGCATTCAAAAACTGCGTTTTCCGCCATCAGAACGCGAAAATATTCACTACATGAGGAGATAAAGAAGATTCTATCTCACCAAAATTCCAAAAAAAAATTGTTTTTCTTTTTTTCTCCGCGAAAAATGTACTTTTTGATTTCGAAATTTTCGAAACGTGATTTTTTTGGAAATTTTTGTGAAACTTAAATATGGTGAATCTGATTTATTTTATGTGTTCTTTTATTATGTTCACTTAATTTTGAGTTTTACGCAAATTTGAAATTATGAATTTCGGAAAATCTCTTTTTCTCCTTTGGAATAGGTTATATATGAAGAAATAAAACATATGGTATTATAAAACTGGAAAACTATTTTCTCATAGGAAAAAAATAACGTATATTTGCAATGAGTAGGCATCCATCGAGCCTACTCACCCATTAAACTTTTTATTCGTTCTCTGGCCGACAAAGAGCCAGAGAACCACATATGCATTAACTTATGCTGAAGTTATCTGGATTTCCTCTCTCATTTGAGAGACATCCAGATAACTTCAGCATAAACGAATTACAGACATGTTCTCTCGCTTTTTGTGGGCCAAGTACCACAACTACATTACACTAGGGCAGAGTTTTTCCGAGGCCTCTCATCAATGAGAGACTTCGGAAAAACTCTGTCCTAGTCGAATAAATTTACATTCTCCGACACACAAATTGTTAGAGATCACAAGTACGCTATCTTAAGGCAGAGTTCTTCCGAGGCCTCTCATCAAATGAGAGACTTCGGAAAAAACTCTGCCTTATTAGATCAACTACAGAATCCCTGGCTCTTTGAAAACCAGGGAACAGTAATTGAGTAGTTTAAGGCAAAGTTCTTCCGAGATCTTTCGATGGAATGAGAGATCTCGGAAGAACTTTGCCCTGCTCGAGTAATTACAGAATCCTTGGCCCTTTGGGGACCAGGGGGCGGTAGTGTAAATGAATGAGGGCAATAACGGATAACTAATATCCTTAGAAGCGCAATACCTACACAGCCTAGCTACTATATCCTAGCAGTTAGACTGCACAGGTATTGCGCTTCTGGCTTGTGGAACTCTCATGGAAGACCGATTGGGGATCTCCTGCCGAAATCACTTGCTGATGTGGATGGAGCAGCACTATGATTGGCCAGATCAAAGGCTGCGTAGCATCCCAGCAAGTGGATTGTCGGCGGCGACTCCAACTGTGGTCCACCATGAGATTGACACTTTTGCGATTTGGCGCCAAACTTTTTTTGTAGTTGGCAAACAAGTGGCAAATTTGCCATTTTACAATTGTAAACTGACTAACTTTACAATGTCAATTTTTGTGAGATGTACCGCTCTCAAAAAAATTTACCCTTTTCTCTTATTATTTGGTAGAAACACTTGATTTTGTCCCTAAAAGTGTCACGACCAAAAAAAATTACAAAGCATGTCAAGTACAAAGCAACCAGTAAATGAAGGCGAATGCAATTTTAGCAGCCTTAAGCCAATTGAACCCTTCAAATACCCTAGCCAAGCTTCAAAAATTATTTCGGAAGTCAATTCAAATAATATTTTAACATCATCAGCAGAAATTATAGATTTAATTAAAACTAACAAAATATCCATCAATATGGCAATTTACTTGATTAGCGCTTTTTCGGAAATTCGTGAAAAAGACATTAATTTATTTTCAGAATTCTATCAAAAGATATCTAACGAATTCTCATGCGTCATCAAGCCGAATAATATTAAATTAGCAACGCTTCTACATTATAAAGGTTTCAATTTTGAAAAATTTAAGCCTAAAATGACAGAAGAAGCAATTCTCAATTTATATTCAAAAGAGTCTCCCTTATACTATATTGCATGGGATTTAGTTGATGACCTTAAAAGTAAATTCCCAAATCTTAAAATTAACACGAAAGTAGATGATGAAATCAAACCACTTGATTGTGCAATTAAATACGGATCAGAATTATGCTTCAATTACATGAAAAATTTAGGAGCTAAATACACTAAACACTCTGAAGAATATGCTGTTAAAGGAGGAAATAAAAACATATTTATGCAAATGGTAGAAGAAGGTGAATCATTTAATAAAATGATTAATACAGCATTGGGTTATCAACACTATGAAATTGCTGAGTATCTTAAATCAAACTTCGGACAAAATCCTGATTCAATAAGAGAATGCATGTATTTTGGAAACTTTAAAGTTATTTCGTATTTACTTTCTAATGGGGCTGACATCAACAAACCTTATTATATTTTCTTTCTTTTCATATTCACAATTGGTTTATGACATTCTCTTTCTTATCATATTTATCATTGCTTTATGGCATTCTCTTTCTTATCATATTTATCATTGCTTTATAAAATTCCTTTGATCTTAGTGATACTCCACTTTCTATTGCAATCAAAACAAATTCAATCGAAATTGTCAAATTCTTTGTTGAACATGGCGCTGATGTTGACATGAAAATTATTCTCTTTCTCTTCATATTTGTCATTGCTTTATGATATTCTCTTACTTTTCATGTTATTCATTATTTTATTGTATTCTCTTTCTTTTCATATTTATCATTGATCTATGACATTTTCTTTCTTTTCATATTTATCATTGATCTATGACATTTTCTTTCTTTTCATATTTATCATTTATCTATTACACACTCTTTTTTTTCAAATTTTTCATTGTTTTATTACTTTATCTTTCAATTTATATTCATCATGGTTTTATAGTATTCTCTTTCTTTTCATATTCATAATTACTTTATGACATTATCTTTCTTTTCATATTCATTATTGTTTTCCGGAATTCTCTTTCTTTTTATATTTATCATTGTTTTATAGTATTTTATTTCTTTTCATATTTATCATTGATTTATGACATTTTCTTTCTTTTCATATTTATCATTTATCTATTACACACTCTTTCTTTTCAAATTTCTCATTGTTTTATTACTTTATCTTTCAATTTATATTCATCATGGTTTTATAGTATTCTCTTTCTTTTCATATTCATAATTACTTTATGACATTATCTTTCTTTTCATATTCATTATTGTTTTCCGGAATTCTCTTTCTTTTTATATTTATCATTGTTTTATAGTATTTTATTTCTTTTCATATTTATCATTGATTTATGACATTTTCTTTCTTTTCATATTTATCATTTATCTATTACACACTCTTTTTTTTCAAATTTTTCATTGTTTTATTACTTTATCTTTCAATTTATATTCATCATGGTTTTATAGTATTCTCTTTCTTTTCATATTCATAATTACTTTATGACATTATCTTTCTTTTCATATTCATTATTGTTTTCCGGAATTCTCTTTCTTTTTATATTTATCATTGTTTTATAGTATTTTATTTCTTTTCATATTTATCATTGATTTATGACATTTTCTTTCTTTTCATATTTATCATTTATCTATTACACACTCTTTTTTTTCAAATTTCTCATTGTTTTATTACTTTATCTTTCAATTTATATTCATCATGGTTTTATAGTATTCTCTTTCTTTTCATATTCATAATTACTTTATGACATTATCTTTCTTTTCATATTCATTATTGTTTTCCGGAATTCTCTTTCTTTTTATATTTATCATTGTTTTATAGTATTTTATTTCTTTTCATATTTATCATTGATTTATGACATTTTCTTTCTTTCATATTTATCATTTATCTATTACACACTCTTTCTTTTCAAATTTCTCATTGTTTTATTACTTTATCTTTCAATTTATATTCATCATGGTTTTATAGTATTCTCTTTCTTTTCATATTCATAATTACTTTATGACATTATCTTTCTTTCATATTCATTATTGTTTTCCGGAATTCTCTTTCTTTTTATATTTATCATTGTTTTATAGTATTTTATTTCTTTTCATATTTATCATTGATTTATGACATTTTCTTTCTTTTCATATTTATCATTTATCTATTACACACTCTTTTTTTTTCAAATTTCTCATTGTTTTATTACTTTATCTTTCAATTTATATTCATCATGGTTTTATAGTATTCTCTTTCTTTTCATATTCATAATTACTTTATGACATTATCTTTCTTTTCATATTCACCATTGGTTTATGGTATTCTCTTTTTTTTCAAATTTCTCATTGTTTTATAGTATTTTATTTCTTTTCATATTTATCATTGATTTATGACATTTTCTTTCTTTTCATATTTATCATTTATCTATTACACACTCTTTTTTTTCAAATTTTTCATTGTTTTATTACTTTATCTTTCAATTTATATTCATCATGGTTTTATAGTTCTCTTTCTTTTCATATTCATAATTACTTTATGACATTATCTTTCTTTTCATATTCATTATTGTTTTCCGGAATTCTCTTTCTTTTTATATTTATCATTGTTTTATAGTATTTTATTTCTTTTCATATTTATCATTGATTTATGACATTTTCTTTCTTATCATATTATATTATCTTGTTCATCATTTTTTCTTTCAAATTTCTCATTGTTTTATTACTTTATCTTTCAATTTATATTCATCATGGTTTTATAGTATTCTCTTCTTTTCATATTCATAATTACTTTATGACATTATCTTCTTTCATATTCACCATTGTTTATGGTATTCTCTTTTTTTCAATTTCTCATTGTTTTTATAGTATTTTATTTCTTTTCATATTTATCATTGATTTATGAACATTTTCTTTCTTTTCATATTTATCATTTATCTATTACACACTCTTTTTTTTCAAATTTTTCATTGTTTTATTACTTTATCTTTCAATTTATATTCATCATGGTTTTATAGTATTCTCTTTCTTTTCATATTCATAATTACTTTATGACATTATCTTTCTTTTCATATTCATTATTGTTTCCGGAATTCTCTTTCTTTTTATATTTATCATTGTTTTATAGTATTTTATTTCTTTTCATATTTATCATTGATTTATGACATTTTCTTTCTTTTCATATTTATCATTTATCTATTACACACACTTCTTTCTTTCAAATTTCTCATTGTTTTATTACTTTATCTTTCAATTTATATTCATCATGGTTTTATAGTATTCTCTTTCTTTTCATATTCATAATTACTTTATGACATTATCTTTCTTTTCATATTCATTATTGTTTTCCGGAATTCTCTTTCTTTTTATATTTATCATTGTTTTATAGTATTTTATTTCTTTTCATATTTATCATTGATTTATGACATTTTCTTTCTTTTCATATTTATCATTTATCTATTACACACTCTTTCTTTTCAAATTTCTCATTGTTTTATTACTTTATCTTTCAATTTATATTCATCATGGTTTTATAGTATTCTCTTTCTTTTCATATTCATAATTACTTTATGACATTATTCTTTCTTTTCATATTCATTATTGTTTTCCGGAATTCTCTTTCTTTTTATATTTATCATTGTTTTATAGTATTTTATTTCTTTTCATATTTATCATTGATTTATGACATTTTCTTTCTTTTCATATTTATCATTTATCTATTACACACTCTTTCTTTTCAAATTTCTCATTGTTTTATTACTTTATCTTTCAATTTATATTCATCATGGTTTTATAGTATTCTCTTTCTTTTCATATTCATAATTACTTTATGACATTATCTTTCTTTTCATATTCATTATTGTTTTCCGGAATTCTCTTTCTTTTTATATTTATCATTGTTTTATAGTATTTTATTTCTTTTCATATTTATCATTGATTTATGACATTTTCTTTCTTTTCATATTTATCATTTATCTATTACACACTCTTTCTTTTCAAATTTCTCATTGTTTTATTACTTTATCTTTCAATTTATATTCATCATGGTTTTATAGTATTCTCTTTCTTTTCATATTCATAATTACTTTATGACATTATCTTTCTTTTCATATTCATTATTGTTTTCCGGAATTCTCTTTCTTTTTATATTTATCATTGTTTTATAGTATTTTATTTCTTTTCATATTTATCATTTATTATGACATTCTTTCTTTCATATTTATCATTTTTTGTATTGTTAACTTTCTTTTCAAATTTTCATTGTTTTATTACTTTATCTTTCAATTTATATTCATCATGGTTTTATAGTATTCTCTTTCTTTTCATATTCATAATTACTTTATGACATTATCTTTCTTTTCATATTCACCATTGTTTTATGGTATTCTCTTTTTTTTTCATTTCTCATTGTTTTATAGTATTTTATTTCTTTTCATATTTATCATTGATTTATGACATTTTCTTTCTTATCATATTTATCATTTTTTGTATTGTTAACTTTCTTTTCAAATTTCTCATTGTTTTATTACTTTATCTTTCAATTTATATTCATCATGGTTTTATAGTATTCTCTTTCTTTTCATATTCATAATTACTTTATGACATTATCTTTCTTTTCATATTCATTATTGTTTTCCGGAATTCTCTTTTCTTTTTATATTTATCATTGTTTTATAGTATTTTATTTCTTTTCATATTTATCATTGATTTATGACATTTTCTTTCTTTTCATATTTATCATTTATCTTTACACACTCTTTCTTTTCAAATTTCTCATTGTTTTATTACTTTATCTTTCAATTTATATTCATCATGGTTTTATAGTATTCTCTTTCTTTTCATATTCATAATTACTTTATGACATTATCTTTCTTTTCATATTCACCATTGTTTTGGTATTCTCTTTTTTTTCAAATTTCTCATTGTTTTATAGTATTTTATTTCTTTTCATATTTATCATTGATTTATGACATTTTCTTTCTTTTCATATTTATCATTTATCTATTACACACTCTTTTTTTTCAAATTTTTCATTGTTTTATTACTTTATCTTTCAATTTATATTCATCATGGTTTTATAGTATTCTCTTTCTTTTCATATTCATAATTACTTTATGACATTATCTTTCTTTTCATATTCATTATTGTTTTCCGGAATTCTCTTTCTTTTTATATTTATCATTGTTTTATAGTATTTTATTTCTTTTCATATTTATCATTGATTTATGACATTTTCTTTCTTTCATATTTATCATTTATCTATTACACACTCTTTCTTTTCAAATTTCATTGTTTTATTACTTTATCTTTCAATTTATATTCATCATGGTTTTATAGTATTCTCTTTCTTTTCATATTCATAATTACTTTATGACATTATCTTTCTTTTCATATTCATTATTGTTTTCCGGAATTCTCTTTCTTTTTATATTTATCATTGTTTTATAGTATTTATTCAACTGCAGCGACTCTTATCCCAAGCAACATTTACAAAATAAACACTATCAGTGGTGGC